TTATGTCTTTCCAAACCCACCACCAAATAAAAATTCAGAGAATTAAAAAAATGCACATATCAATGATGTAAGCACAGTTTCACATTTGACATCTGTTAATAGCAGTTAAATCCAATAACTATATAAAAATTCAGGGATCATTTTGTGTTTATATTATAAACAGTCCTCTATTCTAAATTGATAAAATTATCAATATGTTTTATTCCGACAAATCGTAGATTGAGGAAGATCAAATGAATGCTAATATACAAAAATTTTTATCCGAAAAATATTTTTTCTATTTTTACGAGCAGACCAGTCTATTTAAGTAGAGTCCACTTGATCGATAGAATCTATTTGAAATCATTTAAGAACAACTGACAAGAACAAACTGATCGATAAATGGACCCATTTTAATGGGGCTCAAAAGGTTAGAAGTGTCGAGGACTTCATTTGGCACGTTCAATTCTATAAAATGGATTTCATTTTGTATCGAGTTGTCACTTAAGAAAAAGATTTTGTATAAGGGTTCGATGCAGATGAGAGGCCGAAATACCAGCCAGACGACGATCGGGCTATCTCCCCTGTAAGGTTATGGGCGAGTATTTTGTATAAAAGAAATTGTCCGAGACATCATCGCTTCCTTAATTGTATCGAAACAATACGCAAGGATATATACAAGGTGTAATTAATAATTTCTCTTCGTATATGTGCCGTGTCTCTTCAGGATGTGGGTTATTATGGCCTTCCACGACTTCCTATCCTTCGAAACTCTTATTAATGTTTTTCACATTACTTTTCCTCCTACTCCTTGATTCTGCTATCTACTTACACAAATTCGTTATGTAAATTACTCTCTGGTTTCCTCTGTCAAACTTTGATATATCCAATGTGTGTCAAATTTTCAAAGACAACTTTTCTCATGATGTGTACCAGAAATTTCAACTGTGTCTTTCTGATTTTACGTACAATAAAAAAACGTAAGGACCACAATCCTATAAAGCAAGTTTTTAACCAGATGGAAAATAGAATGCTCATAAAATGAAGTTATTACTTTTCAAAATGACAGGAATTGATTGACATGTTACTGGATGCTAGTTTTGGTAAATATTAATCAGCATTATTTTGCGGGAATCAATACTTCGGAGAATAAATATTTACGGGCCCCTGGAATATATTTATCCCCACAACAATTATTGCGGACTTAATGTGAGTCTAGGTAAAAACGGGTGACACAATACAATAAATATAAAACAAATGACAATGCATGGTTTAACACAAAGAATTACATGTGATGAAAAGAAAAACATGAAACTAGTTACATTGGCATTTAAATGAGAGAATGTGCGTTTTTGTGTATGCGAAATTTGAGTACGTGATAGACACCTGTGTAAAAGATTTCAAAAGTCAAAAGAGAGAAAGAAAAATGCACGCGAGAAATAGTGGCCGCGTTCCAAATGTACGTAAGTGTAAAGGAGGACTAAGGAGAGAAATCACGCCTTTATACAGGCTTAAAGTGCGAACTCTAACGACGGTTTTTTGGTAAAGTCAAGTGGGATAACCCACGGATAAATAAGAACTCCAGTCCTCTAAAACAAGTTTTAAACTTAACAGAATCATGAAGCTGGTGTCAAAATGGAATAAATTTACTTCTTTCCAAAGTGACTAAGCTTGATTCACAAGCAAGATTTCCAATCTTATCGAACAAATTATAAAGTGGATAGAATAACGAAACTGGTGTAAAAATAATGACATTTATTTTTCTTTATTATTATAAATTTATTTCTGAACATAGGCTTCATTTCGTGGTACACATTTTCAAAATATTTGTCCGTTTTTTTTTTTTTGTTGTTTTTTTTAGTTTTTTTTATCCATGGAGAAAGTTTCTGGTTTACTTTTGATCCAAATGCGCAAAGCAAATTCAACTTCGGCATCGAATGAAAAACACCACACCAGCAACCTGACGCGAAGTTCGTTTGCATAAACCTTTATATACTATCAAACATATCTACTATTAGTGACGCCACGCGATAGGAGACCTTATTTATCGATCATCTCTCATAAAGCAACTTGCAATAGTAGTTTAAAAAATTCAAGCAGTGTCCAGTTGGTGTATAAAAAGGGTGAGTTTTTTTTTTTTTTTTTTTGCTGGATAAGGTATACCCTAAATTTGCAAAAAAAATATTCCTAACTAAAGCTGAATCAATTGTATCTTATTAACACAACATTACTCCTATATATAATAAATTTTCAAGCACCTAGTTCACTTCCGGCAATTGAAGACACTTACGTTTTTAAAGTACTATTTTATGCAATTTAAAATTGGCAAATTATTTTTTTTAATACATTGGGCTAAAATTAATCATACTAAAAACATTATCAGGGTTAGCTGATTAGATGACTGATATAGCCAATCATAAGCTTCTAGTTAGATACCGGAGATAAGTTTTTGTCTGAGAAGGAGAGATAGGTTTGCGGTCTGGTCAGACTTGAATGGAAGTCTGTGGAGAAATTTGTAGAAGTGTTTAATAAGATAGCAGATATTTCGTCTGCTGCACCAGTGGTGGGTAATATAGGGAGCGAGAACAGTCCGAAACTGGACCACATCTTTGCTTTGCCAGTGAGACAGAATTGTGTTGGAGGCTCGTATGGAAGACCTTACTAAGAACGTCGATATGTTTACTGGTGTAAATGCAATTCATCTTCAAAGCGTTTACGTGAGTATGGGGACTCTGATAACATGCTATGTTGGGAACACAGAAAATATGACGACAAGGCCCCTATAAATATATCAATGTTGTCTTCTATTGCAAATCCTCTGACCAAACGGTACTGAAAACACGATGCAAAACAGTATTTTCTTCAACGGAATGATTTGCTGCGGAAGGCGCATACATATGACTCTTAATGGATCATAACGGTATTGACAATCGAGGTTTCCTTACGTTTCCGCTGCAAATTGTGCACATTGCGCTTGCCACTCACAAATATAAATATTTAATTCATTTGTTTGAGACTGATGGCTACTCACTGGTGAAGAAACGAAATGCGTGTGCCGCACAGATTGGAAAAACTTGAATTTCTCTAAAAGGATGAATTAGGCAGGTGGGTCGGAAATTCACTTCATTTCCGTCCACCACGAGAAAGTGCTCTAAAATTGTTCTCTCTGACTTAATAATTAAAAATTCTCGACAGCATCTGATCGTAGAAACTTGAAAATAATTAAAAACAAAAATTAACAGCGAGTTTAAAAACTTTCCTTCGTCACTACCCAGACTAAGCAAAACTTAATAAGCACTTTTATTGCCAATGATATGTGCATGAGATTGCTATGCTTGTCAGTTTTCAAGCATAAATAAAAACAATAATTTCGAATGCTGATATCTAAAAAGAAGGCACACTGTCCCTCTCCGTTTGAAAAAATTGGCGCATTCTAATCTTTCTACTCTCTTATCCATATCTATCACCTCTGCCGTACTAAGCTTCATAAATATCAATAATTTATTTTTCGAACATCAGTCTTCTGTCAAATTATGGTTGAGAATCTCAGATTTGGTATTAAAACTTTAAAAAAAACAAAAACTCCAAAACAACGTTTTTCTTAAAATCAAAGTGAAGTTAAGCAAAGTCAAACTATGTCAGTACCTCGATGGGTGACTGCTTGGGAATACAATGTGCTGTAAGCTTGTATGTGTTTGTGGTCAATGGATAATAGCTCGGATTTGTTCATCGGAGAGCAGAGTTCCAACTCTATTTGGATTCATTATATATCACTTACGCGCAAATGCCCATGGGAAAGGCATGAATCTAGCTCTTTTCCCTCCAGCTATGGGTTAATTAGTAAAACTTGAATCACTAAACTATTAATATCTTAAAAATAATTCTAATATTTTCTAACTTTAAGTAACCTGCAAACGGTTGATAAAGCGTAGAAAACGAATCAATTGAAATTAAAGTAAATACCTAATCTTATGTTTAATATAATTCTTATAAATAAATAACACTCTCTTCCAGATAGCGTATTTAAGAATATATATTGGGTTGTCAGATTATTTCGTTCGTTTTTACTAATATTAGCTGAATTAGCACGTAAAACATTTTTGCCGTAATGTTTCATGTTTTTTAGATCTGTTCTTCCTCTATAACTTTTTGCATCGTTTTTATATTTGATTGAACTTTACCTCTTTTCAGACATGTGACAATGAAGTGACAAGGAGATAAAAATGAGCATTTTCAACATCTGCTTCTCTTCGCTTTCAGTCAAGGTTCCAAAGTTACTCGAAACATTTTTGCTGTGCACGGAGATAACTTAATTACGGAAAGAACCGCACAGAAATGGTTTGACCATTAATTTACATTCTCTCAGTATCTCCATTGTTCCTTGCAGAGCTAGCCACTTGACCGAGTTCTGATAACCTATTTGGTTATCAGATAAATTTGTTTTTTCCAGTGTTATTTAAATTAATATGTAAAATATTTGTATCACAGTGTTTTCTGTTTTTTGTAGATCTGTTATTCTTGTATTTTTTTTTTTTTTTTTTGTAATTTTTGTTAATCGTTTTTGATATGTTACCTTTTTCAGATATATGACAATGGATTGATACGGAGACAAAAAGAAACATTTTCAACATCCGCTTCTTTTCGCTTTTAATCAAGGTTCCAAAGCTACCAAAGTTGCTCAAGACATCTGTAATGTGTACGGAGAAGACGGCATTACAGAAAGAACTTCAAAGAAATGGTTTTCACGCTTCGAAGTTCCCTTTCTAGAAGTGTGAAAACTATTTCTCACATACTCTCCACGTTCCGGCTGACATGTTCTGTTCAATGAGGACCGATTCTACGCCAATCCACAAGGGATTACCCAATCAGATGGGATGCTCTCCTGATACTGTCGCCTGTCACCTTCACTCGCTGCATGGGTGCCGCACACATTGAATAAAAGTGACAAACTCTAGCGCTCCTTCATCGCTGCCTGTTTGCTCGCTCGACGCCAGGCTACTCGCGGAAACAAACAGATTTCATTACTGAATCGTAACCAGGAATAAAAAAAATGTCTTTACATCAATATGAAGCAGAGGAAAAAAATAGCTGAGTCCCGACAAGCAAACAAACCTCGAGTCAAGCCAGATATGCATCTTCGCAACACAATGATGTGCATCCTCGCAACACAATGATGTGCATCCTCGCAACACAATGATGTGCATCTTCGCAACACAATGATGTGCATCCTCGCAACGCAATGATGTGCATCCCCGCCGCACAATGGTGCGCATCCCCGCAACACAATGATGTGCATCTTCACAACACAATGAAGTGCATCCCCGCAACACAATGGTGCGCATCCTCGCAACACAATGATGTGCAACCTCGCAACGCAATGATCTGCATCCTCGCAACACAATGACGTGCATCTTCGCAACACAATGATGTGCATCCCCGCAAAACAATGATCTGCGTCTTCGCAACACAATGCTGTGCATCCCCGCAAAACAATGATCTGCATCTTCGCAACACAATGATGTGAATCCCCGCAACACAATCATCTGCATCCTCGCAACACAATGATGTGCATTCCTGCAACACAATTATCTGCATCCTCGCAACACAATGATGTGCATCCTCGCAACACAATTATCTGCATCCTCGCAACACAATGATCTGCATCCCCGCAACACAATGACGTGCATCTTCGCAACACAATGATGTGCATCCCCAGGAAAACAATGATCTGCATCATCGCAACACAATGATGTGTATCCCCGCAACACGATGATCTGCACCCTCGCAACACAATGATGTGCATTCCTGCAACACAATGATCTGCATCCTCGCAAAACAATGATGTGCATACTCGCAACACATTGATGTGCATTCCTGCAACACAATGATGTGCCTCCTCGCAACACAATGATCTGCATCCCCGCAACACAATGATGTGCATGTTCGCAACACAATGATGTGCATCCTCGCAACACAATGATGTGCATCCTCGCAACACAATGATGTGCATCCTCGCAACACAATGACGTGCATCTTCGCAACACAATGATGTGCATTCCCGCAACACGACGATGTGTATCCCCGCAACACAATGATCTGCATCCTCGCAACACAATGATGTGCATACTCGCAACACATTGATGTGCATTCCTGCAACACAATGATGTGCATCCTCACAACACAATGGTCTGCATCCCCGCAACACAATGTTCAGCATCCTCGCAACACAATGATGTGCATCCTCGCAACACAATGATGTGCATCCTCGCAACACAATGATCTGCATCCTCGCAACACAATGATGTGCATTCCCGCAACACAATGATCTGCATCCCCGCAAAACAATGATGTGCATCCTCGCAACACGACGATGTGAATCCTCGCAACACAATGATGTGCATCCCGCAACACAATTTTGCGCATCCTCGCAACACAATGATGTGCATCCTCGCAACACAATGATCTGCATCCTCGCAACACAATGATGTGCATCCCCGCAACACAATGTTCAGCATCCTCGCAACACAATGATGTGCATCCTCGCAACACAATGATCTGCATCCTCGCAACACATTGATGTGCATTCCTGCAACACAATGATGTGCATCCTCACAACACAATGGTCTGCATCCCCGCAACACAATGTTCAGCATCCTCGCAACACAATGATGTGCATCCTCGCAACACAATGATCTGCATCCTCGCAACACAATGATGTGCATTCCCGCAACACAATGATCTGCATCCCCGCAAAACAATGATGTGCATCCTCGCAACACGACGATGTGAATCCTCGCAACACAATGATGTGCATCCCGCAACACAATGGTGCGCATCCTCGCAACACAATGATGTGCATCCTCGCAACACAATGATCTGCATCCTCGCAACACAATGATGTGCATCCCCGCAACACAATGTTCAGCATCCTCGCAACACAATGATGTGCATCCTCGCAACACAATGATCTGCATCCTCGCAACACATTGATGTGCATTCCTGCAACACAATGATGTGCATCCTCACAACACAATGGTCTGCATCCCCGCAACACAATGTTCAGCATCCTCGCAACACAATGATGTGCATCCTCGCAACACAATGATGTGCATCCTCGCAACACAATGATCTGCATCCTCGCAACACAATGATGTGCATTCCCGCAACACAATGATCTGCATCCCCGCAAAACAATGATGTGCATCCTCGCAACACGACGATGTGAATCCTCGCAACACAATGATGTGCATCCCGCAACACAATGGTGCGCATCCTCGCAACACAATGATGTGCATCCTCGCAACACAATGATCTGCATCCTCGCAACACAATGATGTGCATCCCCGCAACACAATGATCTGCATCCCCGCAAAACAATGATGTGCATCCTCGCAACACAATGATGTGCATCCTCGCAACACAATGATGTGCATCCCAGCAACACAATGATGTGCATCCCTGCCACACAATGATGTGCATCCTCGCAACACAATGATGTGCATCCTCGCAACACAATGATCTGCATCCCCGCAACACAATGATGTGCATCCCCGCAACACAATGATCTGCATCCCCGCAACACAATGATCTGCATCCCCGCAACACAATGGTGCGCATCTGATGGGTTTGAGAAGGGCTAATTCATTATGAAATGCTCGTAAACAATCACATGGTCAATGCAGAGCTTTACGTTTAGTAAATACACCGGATCGACGAGGCAATCCAGCCGAAACGAATTGGCTGGCGATACGGTGTGCTTATTCAGAATTGAATTTGTATATATGGATGTAGGTTCGATTCCTGTTGGAAGCATAATCTTTCTTTAGTAGGACCTCTCAATTTAGGCAGGTTGTTATTAATTTCACTTTTCAATGAAACAAAAAAGGATATCAGTTCAAACGCAAGTCTTCTCCTTCATGACGTTCATGATCATGGCTCTCCACAATTTCCTGTCCTTTGTAAGTCTTAATAACTTTTGTCATTTTGCCATCTCTCCCAAACCCTGATCCAATTTCTTGCAAATTGATGTTTAGTCCTTTCCTTTCGCTTTACTTCACTACCTTATGTGTGAGTTTCCTTTCTGTGTCTTCTATCAACAATATGCTATCTGCGTATCTTTTTTTGTTAAGATTATGGCCGCCTGGTAGAACTACTAATTCTCTCAGAATCGTCTCACTGTATAGATTGAAAGGGTCTGGCAAGAAGACGTATCCTTGTCTTGCACTCCTTTCTATTTTTGTATATTTACTGAACTCATTTCTTATCCATATGCAGGCGATTTACCGCTAGTACCGGTTCTAGATTATTCTAATATCCTTCCTATATATGTCAAGGTTACCTAGCAGTTCCAGCAGTTCTTTGTAATACACTTTACCAAATTCTTTTGTATAATCTATAAAACATGGGTATACATCCTTTTGACTTTGTATTGCTCTTTCTGATATTCTGAGCATAAATATAGCATTCCTTGTATTTAACGAAACCGCATTGTTCTTGCTCTATTTCCGGTTTGATTCTGCTGCGCGTTCTGTTCATCAAGGTTCGGATGATAAGTTTTGTTACATGACTCATTCGGCTGATTGTCCGATGGAGTTCACATTCATTTGCTTTTTAAGCAGTGCAATGAATATGGATCTACTCAGGTCGTGGGGTATATCGCCACTTTTGTATATTTAATTTATTATATCTTTAATCTTGTCAATGCCGAAATCGTCCAAGGCTGCTGACATCTCTATTACGATTTCGTCTGGTCCTACTTCTTTCTATTTCTGCACATTTTTCGTTGAACCACTCCTTTTTAGCCTGCCTGAATTTGGTCCTAATTTCTTTGTGCATGAGTTCTATATTCTGCACCGTATCTTATCATTGTTTTTTTGTCTCCTTTTCATAATGTCGGGAATTTCATCCATTCTTTTTTTCCTTTGTCTATTTTCCTTTGGGATTATCTCGATTGCTGATGTTTCTCTCCACTTCGTGTTTCCATTCTCATCTTGTCCATTGCATCTACCTTTAACACTATCCATATATTTCTTCTTGGAGTTCGGGTCAATCAGAAGTCTGTCGTATTGCAATTTGGGTGTTGCCTTAGCCATCTTCAATTTCACTCTAACTTTACATATCACTGGAAAGTGGTCGCTCGAATGTATTGGATATATTTTGCGAATACGAGTATCCTCTATCCTTTCAACAATTACTGTTGTTTACGTTTCGGGTAAGAAACTGAAGCTAGCATATATATATATATATATATATATATATATATGTGTGTGTGTGTGTGTGTGTGTCAAAATTTCTCAGAATTAACATGTAGAAAAAGACAATATGTATAAAGGAAAAAAGACAATAGAAAAATGTGTAGTTTTAGTTGACGCGTTTCATCCAGTGTGAACCTTTTCAAGGCAACAACGAAATGAATTTATTGAAACAAAGTATCTATAAGCAACAAACAAAATGTCGTTAGCAACTAGAAGAATTTAGAAACGCTATTGTATATTCATTTGGTCAATATATAATAATAATAATAGAATATATATATATATATATATATATATATATATATATATATAAATAAAGTCGTGTTTGGTAATCCATGTGGATAATTCCAGGGAGGATATAATCCAGAGATCTCAATGTAAAAACAGAGCAAATATATTAAGAAACAGACAACTTCAAGTGTCCATAGTGATTACAATTTATTTCCTAGGAAAATAAATTATAATCACCATGAACCCTTAAAGTTGTCTGTTTTTATATATATATATATATATATATATATATATATATATATATATATATAAACTACGATCTGGTTGTCTCTTCTAGACGAGCATACACTTTTAACATGGATGATTGACGTAGCACAATCTTTCTATCTAGTCACATGTCATAGCAAGAGAAGCTTAGTAAATCTAATTATAAATAAAAGAAATATTTATACACGTGAGTAATCCTTTGTTTTAAATGATATTTCCTCAATCACCCACTCAGTTTTAGAGAATTCAAACAAACTTCGACTCAAAACTAACCAACCGAAACCATGTTAGTCCCGTAGATTATCACAAGTGAACTGAATCTGCAATAAGTACCCTCTATATGTAACTTTGAAATAAAAATACTTTTAAGATTAGTAAATAACAAAGCCCAGGTTTCCAGAAGGAAGAGTGTAAAATTCTGAGAAACAAATATATTTATGTATATAAGTAAATCTAGGTAAAAAAAAAAAAAAAAACAAAAACAAAAAAACAACTTTAGGACGTGGGGTAAATTTTTCAATAATTTTTTCTTGGAAAAAGTATTTTCTTAATTACTTTTTTCGGCATAGTTTTATTTATTATCTCTAGAAATAATGTCTCTATCAACAGAGTAAATATGAATTACCAATCTGTAAACTTAGCATCGGACCGATGAGCGCATTTCTATCGTGTGATGTCTTGATACTTCATTTTCAGTATCATCAAAACATCGGCATACATTTCATGTTTATTTATTTCTGTCATTACCGAATTTGAATCTTCACGATCGAGCCAAATCGTCACACCATTGTAAACGT